AAGCCCCCCCCCCCCCCCAATGCTCCGTCCTCTTGAGGACGCGTGGTCAATGGTCTAACCGCTACAATACATGGGTACGCCCCCAGGTGATGCTCGGATTTATCGTCCAGAGCTACATGGCGGCCCACATTCCAGGCGCGGATTCCGCGAACAACAAGCCGGCCTTGTCTTCCTCCTCACGCGCCATCCCCCATTCGCTGTCGTTCAGCCGGAGGTCACCCAGAGACGGAGGAGGCAGGGGCGGGGCGGAAGACGGCAGAGGGGGGCCGGCAAGCCCGTTGTCATCTAGGGTCAAGTCGGTTTTGGAGACAACAGGAGCATCTAGCATCAGGACTATTGGGGAGACAGGAGGAGGAGGAGGAGGAGGAGGAGGAGGAGCATCGAGGTCAACTGGGGAGTTAGGAGGGGCAGGGCCGGCTGCCTCTCCGTCTTCGAGTGGTAGGTCCTACGGAGATGGTGCGGAGGGCGCGGCTAGCGGCGGTGCCGTTGGCGACATGGCCGGAAGCAGGAGCCGGAAGGCTACCCCCAAGGCCCGAACTGTTGGCAATGATGGCGCCAGGTGACGCGGGAAGGTCTTCGGCGGATGTGTATTTAATTTGGTTGTTGTTGCCGCTGTTGTGTCATTGTGTGATTGTGTGATTGTGTGATTGTGTGATTGTGTGATTGTGTGATTGTGTGATTGTGTGATTGTGTGATTGTGGTCCTTGCTGTGGTTGTTGCTGTTCGTTTGTTGTTGTTGTGGCTGTTGTACTTTTTCGGGCAACATTTTCGTACGGAGAGAACGGCCCCTCTGTGGAGCTTGTCCATTGACTGTCTCCTACCCCTCTCGCTTCCAATTCCACTTCTCCATCACGAGGACTCATGCTGCGGCCCTGGACGCTGTTCTAGCACAGCCGAGTTGTCTTCGTGAGCAGCGGTACCGAAACCAGATGCGCACGATGATCTGCCTCTGTTACTCGGCTCCGGGCACGCACGTGGCGCAGTTTTACCCCCGCATCATTTCACAGCTCGACCTATTGTTTGTTCCGGCACATTTGGCTCTTCCTTTTACTCACAGCACCATCTTGGATGGAAGCCAGTTTGCGACTCTCGCAGGCGATGCGGTCGACGTCGACACGTTGCTGGAACAGGGGGCCCACGGCTACGGAGGTAGCGATAGAGGCGGTGAGGACGGCAATGGGGAAGATTGTGGTCTGGATGATGACGACGGATCCTTTTCGTCCGACGAAAGCAGCGCGCCGGTGAGTTGGTGGCGACCGTTGTGGCGCGGGTCGAGTGGGGGTATGGAGTGTCTTCGTGGTGTGCGTCGTCGGCGATTTTTCTTTTTCTGGTCTTGTTGCCGTTGGCAGGGGGGTGATGCGAGATGAGAGCATGAGCATGCAGTTTGAGAAACGTTCTTGGGAATGTTATCGAGGATGGATGTTCTTGGATATTTTCTCTTTCAACCTCTCCCGTGGTCGCCGTCCCTTGATTACGCCACTGCCTCTGCTGCTGCTGCTGCTGCTGCTGCTGCTGCTGCTGCTGCTGCCATCTTGGCTCCGTGTGGTGCGATGTATCATCGCCCGGTGATGGGCGCCGCTGCCGCAACCGCGACGATGCTATACGCATTGGTGGCACGTATGCGCATGATTGTGTGTTGTGCTCGTAGGTGGTGGTCACTTCCCATGCTCGGTCGATGTCGTCAACTTTCTGGGGTGCGGAGCAGGAGAAAGACCATCAACGGCGCGGCTCATTGCAGGCATCTACGGAGATGCAGGAGAACTTGAATCGTGTGGAAGCGGAGAACGCCAGGTGAACCACCCCACCCCCCAAAACCGCCTTGATCAGCTGATCCTGCGGAACCCCCGCTTGTTTTGGGTACTGTACCCTTGCATGTAAGCAATGCCTTATGCGAATAGAATCCCACCTTGCCGCGGTGGCGGCTTCAATCCTCGTGTGCTACCTTGAAAACAGTAAGTAGTAGGTGAAGGTGGCAGCACCAGCACCAAGCGATGGTATTGAGCTTGTCTCTTTGTCGCCGACGCTGAGCGAATCAAAACCTCCAAAAGACATCCAATGGGGGGGGTCTACACTGACATGTCGTATTTTTGGACCTCAGGTCTATCTGTTCTTTTGTCTCTGTCCCGACCCGATTCCAACCCCAAAGCCTGACCCTTAGTGCGCCTTTTCCATACCTTTCTCCACCCCTCCCCCCCCCCCCCCCCCCCCCCCCCCCCCCCCCC